ACCTCCCCACCAATTTGGATCGCTTGTTGTTCCCTTGTCCCTGGGTTTGTTATCACCTCTTCCTTCCCACCTCCATAATGATCCATGTAAACAAAATTCAACATTAATTGGAACAACCAAGCGGCTACACCCCGTAACTAAACTGGAAAGCTGATTTGAAGTTCAGCAGCAAGCTGGACCTGTAGCCCTGTTTAAGGTTAGTTCAAAATGACTAAGCCACTCCTCAAAGGAACAATGAGGTATTCTACTCCTGTGAAAGATTTATGGCTTCCCAAGTCCACAGGGGCAGATATCACTGTGTGCTTTAAGATTGCTGGGAGTCAGCATCAATACATGGCATCACCCCCCAAGTCTGCCTTCTTAGTGCTTGTGACCCATGCTGAGAGTTGATATTTAGCCTGTGCTACACTGGAGTATTGCTGATACCATCAAGTACATGGTTGGGTTAGGTAGCTAGAGGCAGAATTAGGGGTTTTCCCTGTAGATGCCAAAGCCTCCCCTTCCCCCCTGACAGGAAATTGGAAGCTGCTTAAGGCTGGAGGGCATCAAGCTCCTGGCCAGGAAGGGGTGGTACACCTAGGTGGGCTTTGCACCTGGATTGGCCCATGTGGCTCAGGTGAGTTCAATTCAGCCAATGGGGTCAACCAGGCTCAGCTACCATGCCCTCCCGAGGAATTAAAAAAGGCCGGATTCCTTCTCAGAGCAGCTTCTAGGCAGGCACTACAGGTGAGGGTCCTTGAGGGTGCCTGTGTAAACCTGAAGCTTCTAATTTGGAGGCCGCTGTCGTCGCTAACGCTGAATCTCGGACCACCGCCTTTCCTGCCGAGTCTCAGGCCCTGGTCGCCACTGTCGCCGCTGCCATGGCCGAGTACAAGGGCGCCGCAAGCGAGTGTTTTAACTCTTGGAAAGTGAAAACTTTAGATGGAATTCTCCAGGAAAAGAAACGAAGGAAGGAAGAAGAGGAGAAAGCACAGATAAAACGCTTAAAAAATTCTGATGACCAGGATTCCAAAAGGGATTCCCTTGAAGAGGGGGAGCTGAGAGACCACCGCATGGAGGTAACAATAAGGAACTCGCCCCACAGGAGAGAGGACTCTCTGGAAGACAGAGGCGAGGAAGATGACTCTTTGGCTATCAAGCCACCCCAGCAAATGTCCCTGAAAGAAAAAGCTCATCACAGGAAAGATGAAA